ATCTGATTTTGAACAACTAATAACATCCTACATGAAAGTTATAATTTACAGACTGAAGAAAACAGCTATTACAGATCATTGAGAATGCAGGAAGAATTTACAAACACACTATTGGTGTTCCTTGTGTTCACTGTGAGCAGGATGCTTAATTATCATGGTTTATGAATACTTAATGATTGGAAGTCAAAATAAAATGCTTCCTCACAACAAAGACAACTAATTCAAAAAATTTACATCAATTCAGTACAGCAACTGTTACTAAAATACCACTAAACACTAACCCTTCAACTCTCAGTATCTGATTGCTTATTCTCCCCTCCAACTGCTACCATTTCCATGTAAATTAGTAACCAGAATTTTTTGGTGTAAGTTCAAGATAACACCTAACACCTGATAGATTTGATTATTCTTATTACCCATTTGTTGAAAGATAAATGAATTCATAACAGAGAAGATGCATGTTAATCACTTCTAGGAGTTAAAAGGTTACATCTAAGACTTTTGAAGACTATTTTCAATTAATAGTTTTGCTATTGACACTGAAAAAATCAGCCACATCAACAAGATGTTTAAGATAAAAAAATCTCACCATTGCCACAAGTAGTACATGTACAAAAGTTTTTTTTAGATTATTGAAACACAAGAGGGTTAGATTTAGATTGTAATGTTGGTATATTTAGAGCAACTTGCATATTGAAGCAAAACCATTCCCAAACAAATGAGGCTAACCCTGGAAGTGATTGATATTTAACTTGAACTCCCTATAATAACCATACATCATCCCGCAAACTGGTACAGAGAATACTCAAACTTATCAGGTTGAAGTTGTTAACTGAATCTTACACCCATAACTTATTCAAAACAAATTGCATAGTATGATAACAGGAAAAAATTTTGAGCCCACAACCTATTTTGATAAATTTTGAAGACTGTTTGTTGGATAGGAGATCATCAATCTTCTGTTCTGATTCAACAGTTGCAATCATCATTTAATTCTCAGATTTAAATTAAGCCTTGAATTACATGACAACAGTTTTTATTCCACTCTGCATTGCCAGAAAGTACAAAAAATTTTTTCAGATTTTGAATAGTTGCACGATGACAGAGAAAAGGTCTTCATTTGTAAGTGTCTAAATATAAACAGAAAAGGCCAATATGAAGGTAGAACCTGTAAATTAACAACTCCTGGGTGGAGTTGAATGGCCAGGTGGCTCTGAAATCCTTTGACTTCCACTTTTCTGAAGTTTTAAAATGTAGTTACCAGTAGAACATTAATCAAAAATAGAAAATAGTGTTTTAGGCAGGTTACACCACTTATTTAGCTTATGTTGTACCTTTAAAAATCAAGATCATAGACATGATGTGGTTATTAATGTTCGAGGATTTTTGATTAGTTTCAGACCTAAGGTTTCTCATTATTTCATGCAGACTAGCAGTGTCAAACACAACTTGATCATCACAACAGAAGCACAAGCCCTATAAATATTTTAAGAGCAGCAGTTTACTTCAATCAATAGAGACTGGTCTTCAGCAAAGGTGAATGATTTTGCACTCACTTGATGTTGTAGTAACTCCCTGTAAAGTGGACTCATCTCATTTAAAACCTCATCTGTGTTTTCTCTTGGTTCTCTTGCTTCCACATCTGCAGCAAAAAAAATCAATAAAGACATTTCATTCCACAGATGAAAATATTTAAAGAATTTTTTTAAAATGATAAACCTTGGCGAAGGAAACTGAGTTTTGTTGACTCACAGCCTAACTCAAGGAGTAACTGAAAGCATTTCTCTTACCGAGTGGATATAGAGGTCTGTGATGGGTTTCTGTTGGTTCTCTTTCAAATCGAAGAGAGCCTACTTCACCAGCGCTGATTCTTGCTCGCCTATCACGATCACCAAAATAAATGCTGGATTCATGTTGATGAGGATCTGGAGAAGAGTTACATTTGCATCAGTACAGCCTGTAAGAAACATTCTAGCCTAATGCCTTAAGATCTTTGGGCTTCATTTCATTGTGCAGTATTCTAATGAATAATTAACTCCACCCTTACAGCAGCTCTCTCCACCAAAAGAGTAAAAAATGGATGCCACAGTGAATTGTGATGAAAGGTAGAGGTAAGGGTAAGGGTAAGGTCTGCATTCAAACCAAGTGGTCCACCCAGCCAGAGTTTATCCCAGTTTGCTGGATGAGATGCTGGTCCATTGCAGTATTCCCTCCTCCCCAACCCTCCTAGCATTTCATCAAGCTTCACTGACAATTCACCAGTACCCATTTCTATTCCTGGGTGGAGAGATGCACTGTGAGAATAAAGTGTTTTGCCCAAGAACATAACACACTGACCAGACCAGGTCTTTAACCCAGACCTCGTGACCCAGACACCATGCACCCATCATGATGTCACTACTGAGGTCTACCTTTGGAACTGTATGAGGAACCTAGAAAACGAATCCCGTGATGAATTCAACCAAGATGGGTGGGTCGTACTACTTATTACAACAGAGACAGAAGTAATTTCTGGTTAGACTTGGTTTGATGCTACTCTGGTTTAAAGATTTAATGAATGTAACCAAGAAGTTACAATTCATAGAACCAATGTTTTGACACTCCTGTCTACTGCCTTTATCAGGGGTGACCTAATGGCTGCAACTAGAGGTCCTTTTATTTGCTCACTAATTCGTTGCCCCTTTTTCTGACAAGGTGTAAATAGGCATCAGCTAGTAAGCCGCCATCATCATGATTTAAAAGAGCGTGGGTGGAAGCGATATGCCTAGCTTCTTTTTTTAATTACATTAAATTTTTAATTAACTATTTGAAAGTCATGCAAGTGCCTGTCACTGATTACAGTAATCAAAGGCATTCTTTACAATGTTCAATTAACAAATTAGTATTCTTGTATGAATCCTCATTCTTACTGATTACAATATTTATTAATAACCATACTGAGTTCATTAAGACCTCTTGATGACATCATATCTTGAACTTTGACTTCAGTTGGTTACCCTTCCAGGACATTTAATTTTGTGCAGCATGCCAAAGTCCCAAACAGTGGGTATAAGGAAAGCAACTAAGTGGCAGTATTTTACCTTCTTTCAGTATGACAAAAATAACATCACTGTCCTCATTCACTGTAAATGGTTCTGTGGAGACAACATCACCACCAATAGCAAGCTGACAGGTATGTTCTCCAACTGGGACCCCAATAGTTTCTGACTCATACAGTCCTTCGCCAAATTTCCGTTGCAGAGTCACAGAACCAGCCTATTGTAGCGAAAAATTGATCCAAAAACTTAAGTTACAGTTTAAAGGGCTGATCGTTTCATTCACGCTTTGAAGCTCATGCCACAAGTACATAAAACCTGTTAGCTTAAAAAAGCCAGTCATTACAAAGCTTTTGTATCAATACTGTAAATGCATTCAATTACTACGTGTTAATGGAAAATCACAAAAACAAGCTTTGACTTATCTTGCCTCAAACTCAATAGACATTTGCCATTTCTAACAAGCTCGTTTCATTTTGAAGTCATTTGTTCAGTTCTGCGACGACAAAACATTACCATTAAAATTTAATGAAGAACCTTCTCGTTACGTTAGACACGTCTCACCACCAACAAATTGTTTTGACGAGTCCATCCTAACAACTTGAAGCAAGATTGTTGAAACGGCGAAAACGAAAGTAGAAAGAAAACAAAAGGCCATTCGCAGAGAGATGCTGTTACTATACAATCAAGCTAGTACATGTACAGAGACAGGAGTAGAGAAATTTTCGCTCCAACACAAGAAAGAATAATTGCCAAAGGCCTTAAGAGCAACAAAAATGGCTTATTTTAAATAAAAAGTTGCTTTAAAGGCAGAAACTCAAGACAATGAAATGCGTTTTGAAAGGTAAACAAACGAACCACAATCAATTTCTTAACTCTAACTTCCGGATATCTTCTAAATCTGATTACCAAACGTAACGATAGACAAAATTAATACGGTACGTTTCAAAATTATCTCTGTTCCTACGTAGACACTTAGGAATATCTATTTGGGGTTTTAAACTTACCAGCGAGCTTATGAGATGAACTTCTCTCTCGATGCAAGGTCTCGACTTGACCCAACAAAAGCGAACTACAACACTGTCCACTCTACGAACAACTGGGGCGCGGGCAGAATCTGTAAAATCGTAAATAAAACGAAAGTTGAGGGGCCATTGTCTTCGAAGGCTTTATTCCTAATGAAATTACTTGTTACCCCACTCTCGCAGGCCAAAACATTCAAGTTTAAACTCATCGTAATACGAGCTACAAAAGTATGCTACACACGACAATCTTTACCTGCATAGGCCGAAGTGCAGACTAAATAGTGAAGCTGCAATTGGTCTAAGCTACCGAGGTCTTCTCGACAAAATCGGCACTGCATCTCACAGAGAACAGCAGTTTCAGTTCCTCAAGAGCCAATTACCAACAAGAACATTTCATTTGTTCGATAGAAGCATGAAAATGCGAGCCATAAACTTGCCAGTTGGAGTATTGACAGGAGATCTTGCTAATTTGCATGAAATTTGATACAACTGCTCACCAGACCTTCCGCGCGTGAGGTGGTGATGGGCGGGGGAGGGGTGGGAGGGGAAAGGACGGTCTTATGAACATTATTATTGTGTTTTCATAGATGGAACTCAAATAAGTGACAGCCAACGAGTTAAGATTCTCTTAAGTGTCTCTCACAAAAAAAGAGCGTTCTCTGAGCGATTGAAAGAGAAAAAGAAGACAAAGATAGATAGAATAGCAAACAAAAATATTTATTGTGGGATAAATCATAGTCTTCCGATAGTTCATCATTCTGATTGTACTAAAGTCCATAGAAACCGGGCAAAGCTACCGCACAGCTTGAAAAGACTCTCATCTAAATTCAAATTTGTACCCTGCACTTGGGAGGTTACAGATTAATTACTAGGTACATAATGAAAAAACAAATCTTATGCTGCCGCTGTAATTTTGCGGGCTCAAAGCTACAGCGGCTTCCAGTCGCCCAAGAGGGACGTGAATATTATAACCGGACGTATATGTGCACGAAACTCGAGTTATTTACTTTGGTTTTTAAAGTTAACTTGTCAAGAAAAAGCTGCATGCTGAAGCTTTGACGAGGTAGATTTTCACTCACAAGATGGAAGGACACTTAGCGTTCATTTTGCCGTGGGCGACAGCGGTGATCCTGTGAGGATACATATGAACATCTGCCATCTCTTATTTAAACAGGAGATCCTTAAATTGCGGACAGTAGCCATGGTTTTATTTGGAATAATATCAGAATTACGCAGTAGAAGTTGGGAAATTAGCTGCCACTAACAGCGGTTAAATAGGCGAAAAAGACAAATATCAAGCTACGAAGAACCAGCGATCTGGTATTTTTAATTTGACTTACGATCGAGATATTGAACGCCAAGTGAAGATCAAAACCTGTGTGGTCCGTATTCTCACGCGAATTTCTACGGTGCCAAAGAGGCGATTTTTTGATCGATGCTAGAGTGGGATGCCGAGAGATTACTGCCGTCAAAACAGAGAACCTGCCGCTGACAGGTTATGGTGAACGACACAGAACGTATACACAACGCGAGCAGTAATGTGTTGTTAACGAGTGGAAACAGTACCTCAAGTCCAAGTCGAGTTCCTTCGAGTTTCATGCCATTTTCAACAGCATGTGTGATACCTTTTGGTTTGCTATTTATTTTAATGTGCTTGGTCAGTATATTGGGAAATTCGATCGTTTGCTACATCGTTTATCAAAAACCCGCCATGCGATCAGCCATAAACATTTTATTGGCGACATTAGCGATGGCCGATGTGCTCACAGCATCGCTGTGTATGCCTTTTGCTATCGTATCCTTGATTGCTCAGAGATGGGTTTTTGGCGATATATTTTGTCAAATAAATGCCGTTTTGTTTAGCTTCTTGGTGACAGAAGGGACCTTCGTATTGTTGACGATATCAGTGGACCGTTTCATGATAATTGTCCAACGCAAAGACACACTCACACCTCGAAAGGCGAAAATGTACATTGTTATCTCTTGGATTTTGGCAGTTGTGGTTGTTTTACCTCCCGTTTTCGGTTGGGGTAAATATGGTTATGAGGTGGGTCAAATTCAGTGCTCGCTGGAATGGCCTAGCCGAAGCGCCATTGATTTATCATACGGCCTGTTTTTTTTTATCACAACATTTTCAATTCCGCTACTTGTAATGACATATTGCTTCGGGTCTATTTTAAGAACCGTTCGAAGGAACTCGACACGCATTCAAAATCACCCACCCGTACCTGGTGGGGTGATGACTAAAATGCACCGACCAGGCAAGATGAACATCGACTACAGTTTCAAGACAAGGGCTTTCACCACTATATTAATCCTATTTATTCTCTTCGTAATCTGCGGTTTTCCTTTCACTGTGATCCGCTTTCATTTGCTTTTTAAAGGATATGAGAAGTCATTGTCTTACACAGCCGATCTGGTGGTCGTATTAATTGCCTACTTAAACTCAACCCTGAAGCCCATAATTTATTACATTCGCATCAGTAAATTTCGAGAAGCCTGCTTGGATATTATGCCTTCTTGGTGTCACGTTCCACACTGTTTACCAGGACGGACGATGAGGCGCATACGACCACATGTAGTTTATGAAGTGGACAAAAAATTTGCAACATCAGTGCTTTAACAGCACTTAGTTCACAAAGGTATATTTAAGATGTTTTAGGACAACTCACAGCAATGCTTACATTTTTACAATAGATAGAGGCAGGTTGAGTTTCAGTATACTGAACCTAAGAATATATTTATAAAGAGTAATTATTTTATGGTAATGTGGTTGTAAATTTAAAACATCATACAGATCACACTCTTAATGAGCCATTTACTTCATTTAAGTCCTTCCATTTGGTTTTGTTTTTGCTATGGATTTCAAATGCCCATGATTTCAACATAGTACCAAAGCTTCTAATGACAACCAGCAGTTTTTGACTATTTTCCTATTTTTCACCACTAAGAATAGATGAATCTTCAGGGTTGCATGTCCATGATAATTGATTGATAATTCTGTACTCAAGACCTTAAGTTAAAATTCTGAGTCAGATTAGATCAAATCAGGACATGTTATTTATATTAAAATCAGTTCTCTTTGCTATATGCTAGATGCTTCCCACTATTTACCTTTGAGAATTTGGTTTTAAATCAATCATGCTATTTCTCCTAATTAATTTTTTCTTTTCTAATCAACTTTCTGCCAATCAATTTACTGATATTGTATAGGGAAATTACTTATTGGTTACCCCTGGGAGTGAGAGGATTAAATGATGCTTCTAAGGACTAGATAACTGTGTTTCTTACAAGCAACAGAACCCAATGTTTCTGTTATCTTATTGAGTTTTTCAAATCTTACTGTCCCTATATTTGATGTATTGGTCTAAGAATCCCTTGTTGAATATCCTGTTTTGGGTATTTCTAAGGGCCTATTTACACGGTACGACTTTGTCGCATGCGACAAGCTTACGACACGAATTGTTTCGTGTAAATCAAACCTACAACTCGCTTACGACTCTTAAGTCATGTCGTAGGCCTGTCGTAAGCTTGTCGCATGCGACAAAGTCGTGCCGTGTAAATAGGCCTTAAGAGTATTACAGTCACCCAATTTAATACTTCATTTGGTGTGCTTAGCAGTCAACCCTATTTGGTTCACTAGAAAAATTACATATTTAAGATATTTAAGTTTCAGACATTAACAGACTTACCTATCAATATTTTGCAAGTGGAACATTGCAGAAATGTGAACAGTCTCTGTCCTATGAGAATGGATCTTACGTCAGTGAATCAGTCATTTTCATCCCAACAAATTGAAGTTGTTTGCTACAAGTTGTACTGTCCTGTCCTCCTTGGGAGGCCTTGAATGTCAGTTTACTAGATTCATTTTGTGGCTTTGGGGTCAAAATAATTTGTCTTTTAGCATTTTGCCAAATTACTGCTACTTTTGTTGCCAAAGTCCACTTAGTGCAATGAATTAAAATAGATATTAAATTAATAGAATTGTAAATTATATGTAATAATAGTAATTAAGATCTAATGTTATTAATAAAGTCAGGGAATACAGTGCAAGAACAGTTGTTGTTGATTTCATAGCAAATTAAAACTAAAAAAACTAATTAATATTTTAACCTTGAAAGGGTTTAGATATCATAGAGGAATCCAACCTTTTAAGGAAAACAAACTGGCTTAAGAAGTAAAGTTTTTTGAAAACTCAAGTTTAGAATAAGTGTTTGACAAAGAAAAGGAAATCAGTCTAGGTTAGCATAATTACCAGGCTGAATAAAGAAATTGCCAGGTTAAATGGTTTGTCAGTTAGTAATTAAAACTCTGGATCTGATCTAACTAGTCCATTTTGTACAATATTTAAATCTTTTGAAACCTCGGTCTTAAAAGAAAACAGAACAACTTACCAGGCCATCAAGTTACTGGAACCTTCAAGAAAATGGTCCCTGGTTTTTAACTACACCCAGGAATGATCCTGTTTACCCTTTAACCCCTAAGAGTGACTAACATCTAATTTCTCCCTGCAATATCTCCCTGAATTACACATGAAGGTCACAAGAATAAAGGAAATGATCACCAACAAAGAAGCCCTTGATTGTTAAACAAATTCTCCTTGTCAGCACCTCAAAATATGTATGATGAACAGTATGGAGAATATGCATACTGATATTAGTGTGTAAAGGGTTTTAAAAGGATTGGCTTTATTTCAAGGTCAAGGATGGAGAAGCAGTAATCCTCATTGTATCTTGTTGCTGAAACTGGGATGAACTCCAGCAAATAGGCCATCTGTCTCCCAAGCTGCCTTGGGAAATAAGGGAAAGGAAGGGGAAGCAAGGAAGCCCAGTTATCAGGGCAGTACTGTTAGTTTATTTACCTAATGATCACTGTTTGTTCCTACCTTCATCAAAATTTACATAGAGGCTCCTATGGATGTAAGTCTAAATTTCATTTGGGAATTTTTAAGGTCGTTGAAGGACTACAACATTTGCCACCTTTCAGTTTTTCCATTTGACAAAAAGCTTCATGAAAGGCTTCAAATTTAAAAGGATGACTATTGTTCTACCTAAGAATGTAAAAAAAAATTATTCATGCTTGGGGGGTATTGCAGGTGTCATAAGTCTAATGCATTAGTACTGTTGTGAAGAAATAGTTCATACAAAATCATTTCAAAATATAAAAACCATTTTTTCCTGGATGAAAGAAAATAAACGTCCACAATCCAAAAAAAGGAAATAGTTATTATTAAAACAACATAAAGGGAACCACTCGATTCAAACTATCACATGGCAAGTGTCTCATATTATATAAAAAATGTTGTATAGTATACTAGGGTATTTAAAAGGTACTAAATTTAAAAAAATATAAAAATGAAACATTCATTTTGTCCAGAAGCCATCAGACACAGAGTGCAAAAAAAACTGGAACACAATGAATAGTCAGGTGTTAAAGAAAGCTTGATGGTAAAATGTTTGTTCAGGTGAGGTTTTCATTACAACTCTCACTGTTAAAGTTGTGGAAATGATGTATTTGGTTACAACTTCCTTTTTGTACAAGAGGTCCATTATCTCTTTTGAAAAATCAACATAATTTTCTATATAACTCATAGCTTTGCCATTTGGCCAATAGCTATCATGGTAAATATTGTTTAAAATTCAAAATATGTAAACTTTTCACTTAAGCCTTTAAACACTTTCTGTGACAAATTAAAATTCTACTTGTTTTTCTTATTGTTTTGGCAAGGCCATAATATACTTAAATATGCTAAAGATCATTAGGGTACATCAAAGAAATTGCATACAATTTTTTTAATGAGGATACAATCGATGGGGAATAGCTGATGAAGGTCTGCAAACTACAAAACTTTTTTCTTGGAAGAATACTCTTCGTCGACTATACTATTTATCAGTATGATTACTGCGGTGATTATAGAGATGCGCATGCTCTGATTGGTCGATGATTGCATCAATCTCGCCATTATCACCTCGCGCTCGGTTACGGCCGGGTCGCACAAGAGCGAAGTCAAATATTTGCCAATTTTTTCGCGAGCCAAAAATTGGTAAAAGTTTTCCAATTTCCAATTTTTTGCGGCTGTCGCATCAAACCAGTATCCTCTGACAAAATTTCATTGATTGATACATACGTCAATCACAAACCTATCTCCCGCTATTAAAAGATGAAGAAAACTTTCCCGCTCGAATTACTGGGCAAGAAGGGATAGTGTCGAATGATTATTTTAAAAACTTTCCAGTGTTTGTGGAAGTTTGCCTTTCTTTCTCAACAAAATAGCGGAGCGTTTTTTATGTTGTTGGTACTCATTATCAGCAGGTTTTCATGCGGCTAGTGTCAGCTTTAAGACGTAGAAGACGAAGACTTCGCCTAAATAGAGCTGGCTTTCGAAATCATCCTTGGTCGAAATCGCCGAGGTCTCTGCGTCCGGTGGAGTCATAATTCGAGGTTGGGATCATGTATCGTACTTCGCTTTCTTTTTTTTCCTGCCTATCTTTTTGGTTGCAGCTTGCACCACTTTTGCTAGCTTCGATAATTCTAATGGAAGGAGTAGTACTCGTTGAAGCCGATTGTTCTCCAAATTGCCGCCAGTAACCGAGCTCATTGCCATGGTACGAGTCAGACAAACGAATAAAAGCGTCGCTCAAATTCCTCGTTTCCCTCCAAACGAAAACTGAGGGTCAGAGAGACATAGAAATTTTATCGACACATGTCTTGCGCACGATAATAGCTAAATGGTTAAAAAAAAAAAAAAACAAAGTTGTTTGCGAGAGGTTACAAATTTGGACGCTTTCAGAATTCGAGGCAGGACATCGGCTCCTTTAAATTTGGCAAGGTTTTAAAATTGGGGTGGCACTTAATTTATACGCTACTAGTTGGCAGATTTTTCACTTAAAAAAGACAAAAAAAGTTCAATAGTGCGACCTTGGCCTGATGAGTAAGAAATTAAGAACGATAACAATACCATAACAATAGACAAAAAAAGTTACAACTAATTTCGAAAAAAAAAACAACAACAACAGGAAAAAAAAAACAACCGACCCATACCAAAACCGTATCATAAAAAATAGAGCAGTAACTCAAAAAGATAAACTGCACAACCAAAACGAAAAAAAGGAAAACAAAAGAAAAAAAGGAGGAAAAGAGTAGGAAAAATTGATGATGATAAGGGGGATAAAAAAGAAAAGACAGTGAGAACAAAATGCAATTTCTCGGGGAGGAGTTACTCGGCCCCCAAGCCAGATTAAAAGAATAACTCTTATACTACAATTCGGACACTTCTAAAACAAGCTATCAGATGTGTGCATTGGCACAATGGTACACACCAGGTATCACGCATTTTTACTTCTGTGGACGCATTTAGCATATACACATATCCTTTACTTTATGTAAGCCATACTAAAGAGGCAGGTGTAAAGTCAATCTTCCTCTTCACTCACGATAAAAAATGGACGCTACCATGGGCTCCTGACGCTACTCTTAGTCTTAGTCGTGCTAGTGGCGATCGTTGCATTCGAACGAGTGCATGGCTTCTTGAAATTCTTGATTTGTACACTTGAAATAATTACATCTCCGGTCAACTCGGCAGAGGATCATAGACGTCTTCTTTTAGTGTCTCTACTTAAACTTCCTGACTTGTCAGATTGTAAACTCTTTTTCCAAACTCTGATGATAGATAATGATGATCAAATAATGATGATAAAGAGGGGAAAAATAAAAAAGACAACAAAAACAAAACGCAAATTCCACGGGGAGGAGTTACTCGGCCCCCAAGCCAGTTTGAGAGTTACTCCTTGTCCGCCAGCTCCAAATCATACTCGGGGAATAGATTTTCTATTTAACAAAAACAAAACGAAAATTCCACGGGGAGGAGTTACTCGGCCCCCAAGCCAGTTTGAGGGTTACTCCTTGTCCGCCAGCTCCAAATCATACTCGGGGAGAAGTTATTCGGCCCCCAAGCCAGATTAAGAATAACTCCTATAGCGTGATTCGAACCCGCGACCTTGATGACCTCACTTGCACTCGTTGCGCGCCCACGATTACCAGTCGACCATCTTGAATATGCATCATTAAATAGCATAAGTTGTCGGTGTGGAGAGTTTTTAAATACCGGGCTGGGGGGTAGGGTGAGGAAGTTTGTCTGACTGAGAGTGAACTCGAGCGTTTCCAGCAAAGACGGAAGGAAATAAATAATGCAAAGAACTGATAAAAGCGATTTAAACGAGGTATATTAGCATATTTCGTAATGGCGGACGGCCTCGTTTGCCGTGGCTCGTTGAACACGACGATCCACACACTTCATAAAGACTCTTCAAGTGTGTGCATTAGCACAATGTTACACGCTAGTTAAGAAGCAAGGGTCTCTCGTTCGATTTGTGTATAACTGTGTCTGAAAGAAGGAAAAACCGTA